AAAATGACTAAAAATGCACTCATTTACACTCACTAAGTTTTGATACAAAATAGTATAAATAGTATAACTTCCACCACTGATCACAGCAACATTCTTTGATGTTGTTCATTTTCATCTCTCTACTGCATGTTTTTGTTGGTTTGTAAAATGAACAGTGTAATACAGATGTGTTTGTGTCTGTGATGTTGTTCAAATTTAGGACAATTATGGTCCACAAGTCCAAAATTTTGCCCACTCCTGCCCTAGCCTGTACCCTAACCCTAATCTTAGCCTTAACCACGAACCTGTCCTTACTTGAGGACAGTGCAAACCTGCAGTGTGAAACTACAAGAGTTTTCTCAACTAGTTTTCTTGTCCTGTTTTACTTTTTGTCTTTCTGCTGTCTTTAAGTATTTGTTCTGATTTTGCTCTGTCTCCTTATCGTAAATTGCTTGTGTTCTCCTTTTTCCTCAGTCAGGTTTTCTAATTAGTTGGCCGTACAGTTTTAGCACATTCTCCAAAGGTAAAACTTTGTTTATTTTTCTGACTGTGGCTGCTCTGTTTTCTCCTTCTGCCTCTGTCTGACCTGATTTATCACCTGTGTACTGAACCAGTTTTACTTGAGTAAAGACTCCTACATTTATTCCTACAATAAATGAACAGCGACTCTTGGGTTTCCTTTTCCACCTGTTTTTGTTGTTATTTGCTTTTCTCCGTGCAATTATTTGACAGGATTTGGAAATGGGTTCTTTCGCCTTTTCACATGTTTGAAACTAGGTTAAGTTGAAAAGGGTTGATTTTTATTTCCTCCTCTCTCTCCTTCTTCACTGATCCAGACCTGAGGCTGCTCTCATTATTATTATTGCTGAGTCAGTCCTAATTGCTGTATTGTACATACAACTATATATTTTTTTTAAATAACTATACTGTTTCAATTTAAACAACTTGTTTGAAAAAACCTGTTTGTTTGCCCCGCCCACTCTAACTTAGCCCTGTTTTTCCTCAAAAACGGGGTTTTGTCTCGATCCCCACCTTCACCAAAGTGCTGCTGTTACTGAGCATTTTTTATATTAATAAAAAAAAGTAATAGATCAATATTACTTTATTTACTAAAATTGACTTTATATTACGGTAATTTATATTACTGTATGTTTATGTTTATGTCATGTAATGTATTCATAATTATAGTGATTAGCTGTAGTTATATAGTTATACTGTTAAATGTGATGATTGGTTTGACTATCACCATAGTTTGGCAGGTCTCTGTCCATTGAAATAAAATTCTTCAGCAAACACTTATGAAATGAAAAACAAGTCCAACTTATTTTTGAATAATTGACATATGATTAATTGACTGATTCACCATTTAATCCTTTTCCAGTGTTTAAGGGAACTGGAGCCAATTCCTGCCTTCATTAGTTTAGACTTGGCTTTAACACTGGAGTGCCCAATTAATCCAGTGGTACATAAATTGGGGGGCGAACTCCCTTAGGGGGGCACAGAGCTGTTGCAGAGTAAGAGTAGGAGCAACATAGATGATTATATTTAATTTAAAATTAATTAAAATACACAATGAATTAAAAATCACTTTAAAAAATATTCCTAATTTGAGCCACAGTGTGGCGGCAGCACAGATTTGTAATTATATTTTCCTTTGTTCAATTACAATAGCAAGAAGAAAGTTCACCGAGTTAATCCTAATCCTAATCTACATGATTTTGGACTGTGGGAGGAAACTGAAGAAAACACACCCTCCGACCTTAAACCCTGCTCCTCTGCTTTTCAGCATCAGCCTCTCGCTGCTCCCTCTGCAGCAGCTGATTATGCACTTTACTGTGTGGAGCCAGGAGCCTGACCTTTTGCCAACTTCTCAGCTCACTGTGCAAGTCAGGAAGATGTGTGTCCTTCCATGTGTTGAATATCCCTAATGTGCGGAGTGTTACGGAGACGTGTCGGAGGAGAAGAAACAGTGTCCAACAATGTGTTGTTGTAAAGGGCACAGACATTAAAATGTATTTTGGTTGAGTAAACTTTCAGCCCTGAGGGAAAGTTGTTTTGGTCCATGCGTTACAAACAGGTTGTTTTCCCCCTCAGTTCTACGATACTTAATCCTTAATCCCAGATTACACATCAGTGATGGGTTGAAAACATAAATCCCTCCTACATCTCTGGCAATTTTATAGAAAAGTTAAAGTGGCAGCTGAAGAACCTGACTGCTGTTTTAAAGCAGTCGTTTATGTGTTTTCTGTGAATTTTGCATTAATTATTAACATTTTCCGACATCTACACTAAATAAGAAAAAATGTTTTAAAATACTGGGTGAGCGTGTTGGTGTTGGTGCGTCAAGAAAAACAACAGATGTATCGGTGCATTAACAATGCTAACAGAGGTGTAAAATAATTAGACAGGTTCAACTACAATTATAATTACAGCTATAAATAGCCGCAGTGCCATCTGTGGAGCGCAGAAGACTCAAACATATACGTGATAACTCACTAAACAAATGAAAACAGAAAAATGCAACAATAAAATGGTGAATTAAATTCAATTGAATCTGTCTCACAACTTTTTGACTGGTCTCTAACTTCTTCTTTTTAGGCAGCGTTTCAGTATTCTGGGGTTGTGCTGTCCCCCCTCCCCCCTCTCACTGCACGTCTCCCCCCTGAATACACCTAGCCTTTGGTGAATTAACTAAACTATGTCAAAGACAGGCTCCGCCCTCTCTGTGCAAACATGGCCTATTTCTCTTGCACTGATAAAGCATATGCGGGATGTGTTCACTGCAGGGATCTGACAAATGACTTTTCACATTGGATTCTGCTCTTGTATCAATAGGTGGAAAAGTTTCATGGATCAACTTTTCCCTCGTCTTTTCAGGAGTTGGATCTAAAGGAGCGTGGGCGGCGTGGAAAATGTCAGCGTTTGAAAAAAAAAAAAAGAGCAAAAGGAAATCCAAAAATTATATAAGCTGAAAAGCGCCACAGGCTGAAAAACTGGCGTCTACGCTGGCTCTCAATTTAACGCCATGACCCCCTTCCCCAACCACCACCCCCACCGTCTGAAATATGTTACCTCCAAAAATAAGAATGAAATGGCTGAAAAATGTTTCAATCACGATCACACGATTTAAGTAGCGTGAATTTATAAGTGAGTTTACAGTAAATGTATTTAATGTATTTCCATAGACTGTTTAAATATTGTATAATTCTTTCTTTCTCAAGTCTTTTTCAAGCTCTGCATGATTTTTTTTTTGTTATTTTATTTTATTTTTTAATATTCAGGGTTTACCTTAATCAGGTCCCTGGTTGAGTTACATCACCAAGGGTCATCCAATGAAAGAGCTGCAGCCAACTACCCGCCAGACCACTCCCTGAGGATCAGAGAAGCTGAGTGTAAGTGTAAGTTTCATTTGTAAAGACACGGCAAAGACAGAGGAGAATGAAAACCCATCTGTCCCATCATGCAACAGCATTAGTCCTATTTTGAACAATTGCCTCAAAATAAACCGGCAGTGGCCCTGGTCGCCATGGTTTCAGCATCACAACTGACTTTTAGCTGCTTTGACACCCACCGTTTAACTGTGCAGGCAGTGATTGTAAGGATTTGTCAGAAGCGAAGCTGCTTGTGTCTTTTCAGGAGAAATTAAAATGTCATTACGTGTCTGTGTTCCTGAGACGCGGCGGTGACCTCCCACGTCTGTGGTTTTGTTCTGATAATTGACATGTGGTTTAACAAAAGTTCAACGATCTATAAAAATCTCCACAGACAAAGGCTGACACCACTTCCAACAGCTCTTATATCATGCTAGCAGACTCTGACGAGGGTCGACGCCCAGTACCGCCACCTACAAATGTAGGAAATTCTTCAAACTGGTATTGTAACAGCAACGTTCACGAATGTTGTGTTCATCCGTCCATATCATTTTAATCAGTTGCCGAACAAAATAATTGCCTCATGCAGTGCAGATGATGGCCTATTGGGCGCGAACAAAACAACATGTGGTAAATTAAAACAAAGGGAAAATCATTGCGGGGCGCAGAGGCAAACAAACAGATCCTATTTATTACAGTCCGTGTATATGCTTTTTAAAAGGCTGCGTGTTCCTCAGGATCAGCACTTAGCATAATTAGTGGCGCCCGTGTAGGTCAACCTCTAATGAAGGCATTTCTTTAAAATGTCACGCAATCAGTTTCTTTCAAAAGCAGTTTGGAAGTGGGTACAATAGTTTTTTGCTGCTCTGCTCGATTCTGTGAGTCGGTGGAACTCTGATTCCATGTAGAACTGGAACTGATGACGGTGATGGCACGATTTGACAAAATGACAACATGACAAACTCTTCTGTACAGCAATAACTATTTTTATAAATAAAAACAGACATTTCACTTACATGTCCCACAGTCCAGATTTACTTCCTCATGAACACGGTCAAAGACGTTTGTTTGTAGCACCCTCTGTGTACACGTGTTTTTGTGTCACAGTTGGGTGTAGCCGCTCCAGTTTTGCTGTTGGCTGCAATTCACCTCTTCACCTGTTCTTGTTCGGCACTGATTGCAATCACCGCCCCCTGCTGTTCAGCCCAGTGCTGCATTTTCAGTCTTTTTAGATTGTTGTTGATCTGAGAGTGCTGTAGAACAGCCTCAACCTTTTTTTTTTTGCGCCACGGACTTCTCTGACAAGTTTTTTCACGGATCGGTCTTTAAGGTATTGCAGATAAATACAACAAAGTAAAAGGATAGAACTGGCATAAGAATGGTTATTTTCTAAATATAATAATAAACGTTACATCACTGTGTATGCAACTGTATTAGCAGCGTCTTCGTAGGATCGTCTTTGTCTTTTAAGGCAGAACGCTTGTTCTTCAAGTGGCGAAGCAGTTTTGAAGGCTTCATCGCCTCATTACAGAGCCGCTAGCCGTGTATTATGCAGCACAGGCTCGGTGCGTAGGAAGAACCTGTCGTAATAAATCCATATTTGAAGTTGAACTCCTGGAATTCCCTGTTAATTGCAGCTTTCTTCTTTGAAGACGTTGGCTCTTTTTCTTTCTTTTTCTTCTGACATGGACCATCCCTGTACTTTGCATCATGGTAACACACTGAATTGTTTGGCACACACTGATGCCCACACTCCAGCCCAGTAAATGGTAGTGATGCCCCTACAGTTCAACTCTAAGATGAACGGGACACACTGAGTGACATCATTGTTTTTTTTATGCACTATGGATAAGAGGATGGCATTGGAAGGTAAATGTATGATGTCACCAGCTCCAACAGACCTTGCCTTAAGAAACAGCGTTTGTTCGCTGTTTTCTCTTTGTCACAGCTTAAACAGGCCGTCAGTCTGGGCATCGTATCAGGAGCTGGAGTTAAATCCAGGTCCTCCCTGTCAAACCCTGTGTCTCTTGTGTTGCAGGTGTAAAAAGCCGCCTGTTGAGCGGCCGTCAGCCCGCTGGGGTTCGATCAATGCCTCGGCCCCTTTTGTGCTGCAAAGTGATAGATGAAAGAAGCCGTTATCAGCTCCACGGCATCAGCAGCAGATAGCTTTGCTGCAGTGGCTACATGATGGTGGGGCAGAGGATGTGGGGGTGGGAGGAGGTCACACTTCAGCCCTACATCCAAGAGGAGAATCGTTGTGGGGAGGTCGATGGTGACGAGGAGGGGAAGGGTGTGGCATCAGACGATAGGTCCATGGATTGATGCAAGATTTAGCATCTGTCAGCAACCCTGTGGAGAAAAACACACACCCAGAGAGGGAGGGGGGCGGCAGACAGAAATGAAAGGGAGTCAAAGATTAGACAGATGTGGCAGCTGCCACCGGAAAAACACCATTAGCCTCCGTATTTGTCAGACAATTAAATGTTTTTGTACTTTGAAAAACAGAGTTAAAAGTCAGAATTTAAATCCCAGTCACAATTTATTTTAACGTGATTCCAAAACCCACCAGTAGAGACCTGGTTCCAGAGGTTGCCGGACCTCTGCTAGTCTTGGTACAAGTAAAGTGGACGGACTACAGGCTGTGAATTAAACCTAAAAGTGCTGATGAGAAGACACAACAATCGCCTCGTCTTCAAAGGTGTCACTGCAGAGAGAGACGCATCTGCCTTACACTTAACTTTTTAAGAATAGTCAGAATCCTTACTAAACTCTGACCTGATCCTACTGTAATTCTAATCCTAACTCCAAATTAATCTTGAACTACAAATGTCCTCACAGTACAAATCTTTCCCACAACAATAGTATTTAAAAAAAAGGCAAATGTCACCCTAATGATATAATAAATGTAACTGGACCAAGGTGATGGATGTAGGGTGGAATATTTTAACTCTACTATGTTGGAGTGAAATTCAACATCAACCCGTGTCATTAAAGAGCTTCACATTCTCCAAAAACTTTGTTGAAGAGTCGGTGTCAATAATTACTTTTCACCCATTGAACACAACGCTCTCCCCTTTGAAATTACAAACTAATTTTAACCTCATTTTGGAGGCACTTCCTCCCCGACGGTGGGAGTGTAATATGACTGGGAGAGCGATTCTGCCATTTTCTCAGATCTGCTGTGATTGACTCTGCGTGAGTGGGAGACAGCCGGTGGTGCTGAGGAGGGGGACTGTCTACGCGTGGGTGGGTGTCTGCATTGATTGGTCTGAAGGAGAGTGTTCGTGAGTGTCGGGGGCTCTCTGCTTGGTGCCAGACAGCACATGCAACACACAAGACACACAGTTAGTTCTCCAGTCATTTCTGAGGGAGAAACACAAGAACACGAAGCTGCCTTCAGAGATCTTTTGTTTCATTAGCTCTTTGTGTCTGAGTGAAAAGTCTGACATGTTATTTTTGTCCTTTTCCACAGATTGAATGTTCTGTTCGTATTAAATAACCTTGAGGCTTTGAGTCTCCTCACAGATACACTACACTACTATGTTTATAACACTCCTAACTACTGCTGGCTCTGATTTTTACCTGGCCTACATACAGTATTAGCTGTGTGCAGTCATTGGCATAGCGCTGTCCAGGGTGCTGAAACAATAAACTACAGCATATCTGCACCTAAAGCTGTTTAGTTTTAGATTTAGTTTTGGTGAGTTAGAATATAATACACTGTACTAAAAAAGGTAGCTAATGATTCTGTGGATTGGTGGTTAGTGCTCTCGCCTTACAGCAAGAAAATGAAGAGTTTGAGTCCCGTCAATAACAGTTGGCCTTTTGTTCAAACATTGTTTAGAGCTAACACACAAAGAAATCAATACAGTTGTTTCACAGTTGTCATCTTTCATCTGGAACAGCCAAATGTTTACACCTGTCAGATTTATATCACCGTTTATTTCCAACTTCACTATGTTAAACTTGGAATGATGACGACGTCTGTCTGACGTTAGTTGTTAGTGGTGTTGAGGAGCAAAACAAATGTGTTTGACCGTAATGTGACGTTTTGTCCTCTGAAAAACAGTTTTTCACCTTTTGTATTTTTTTATTATTCTTGACATTTAGATACAGCAAACATTGTAGCTCTTTGTTTAAAAAAATGACCTTAACTCTAAAGAAATGACTTCAATTTGCTGCACTCAACTTGTTAAGCCCTCTTTAGAGCCACACTGCATTTTTCTGACTTCAACACTCAAGCTCTGTCACTTGACTTGTGGTCAGAGACACTTTGAAAAATCTAAATATACTTTCAAAAATATTATCATAAAGAAACACGTAGATAAACTTTGTAAAAAAAAACAAAACAAAACGTTATATCAAACACACAGAGCAGCAGCACGTGTCCTTGACTGCACGAGTTCCTGGTCTAATCCACCAAACAGAAATGTGGTTAAATTACTGGTTTGAGCCCCAAGTAGTTTCCCCTCACAACAGATGCCAACAGCTATCCTCAACTGAACACTCTCCACTCACCCAGTCAATGAGTCAAACTAACCCGATGGATGCCATGTTGAGGTCTGTAGTTTCAGCACCATGGATAGTTCCATTTGCACATCATTAAAGTGGATACATGCTAACATCAGGCAGGACTGTGTTAATGTTTGCCTTTTACTTTGACAATAGGAGTGAATGTGAATGTTAGTGTGAATGTGAATTGTTTGTCCTGGAAAAGACTGGCTTCGTCTTCCCAGCAACTCCAGTAAATACATAGTCAGAATATTTAATGAGTGTGAATCATTCATTTTGGATTTTCTCTTCATGTCCCTCAGGTCCTTCAATCTCATTTGATTTTTTACCTATGGTCCTTATCAGACTTACTTCGACTCCTCCCCCTGACCTTCCCTATGATGTGAAGGTCAAACGTGGAAAGAGGGCAATGTGTGTGTTCTTGTGTACTGTGTGTGTTCCTGTATGAGCATGAACTTTTGTGCTACAACTTCTCCACCCACTGTGACAAAGTGGTGTGACAGGCCGTGTCACATGGTGGACAAGTGGTAGATGGGAACTTGTTGACACAAGATAGAGCCTGTCAATCTCCTGGCCTTCCAGTGTTACTACCTATTTGCTAGGTGATGTGTGGCCTGCAAACACTGCAGCACACACACACACACACAAACACACACACACAAAAACACACCCACACACACACACCCTGCCTTCACCCTGCATCACACCTGACTTGTTTTTCTTAGCCTAAAGGCCTCTTTGTGCAAGACATGGAGGTCTGAGAAAGTTGTCTCTGCAGTCTCTCTTTCTTTCTCTCACACACACACACACACACACACACACACACCCGACCTCTTCTGTCTGGCATGTAGCTCCTTATGTTTTTCCTCACCTTGATGATTGATCTCACCTGACAACAAACTATAAACAAGCCCCGTGGACAGAACGTCTCCCGTCTGAGAGGAAGTGTGTGTAGAACTGGGATAAAAGAATACTGTTACGTAGTAGAAGAAGAAGAATAAATCATTGTTCCAGCCACACTGTAGTACGGTGGGATTTGTCATTCTAAAACCGGTGACTTATGCGATAAGAGGGTCTGAATGGTGAGGGGTCACATTCAACGCACTGTTTACGTAGTGGAACACACATCACTGCTACTCCCTGCTGTGTTAAATTCCGCCACACGAGCAGGAAGTGTCACCGCGGCTGTATCCACACCAAGGAAACAGCCCTGAGTTATATTTTGTTCTCACTCCTCTAGTAGTTTTTCCCTCTCTGATCAGAGACTATGGGACTGCTGGTTTTCTGCAGCAGGCATAACAAATGTGCACATGCAACACGCTCTTCAGGGCAAACAGAAAAGTAAACAGAGGTATTGTGCCAGAGACAATAGAGGAAAACAAGATAAAACCTGTTCTGCACAGAGGCTTTCATTTATTAACGCCGTAGCCGAGATATCCGCACAAACAACAGAATCTCGATCTGATGAGGTTTCTCAACTGCACGTTTACATAAATGTTTATGCAACGCTCAGTCAGAAAGTCCTCAGACAGATGCATTGATTGCTGCGGGTCTGTGATTTTAATGACTAAAACCAGTACAGACTGGTCTGTAGGCACTGGACTCCAACAGCCCTGACCAGTTCTATCATCACATCTATGACCAGTGTTAAGCTTAGTGACCTTTGACCTAGCATTTTCTAACCAGAGCAAACATCAAATAGTTAACCCAACTTGAATGGAAACCTGTTCAAATGAATGAAACAGGTTGTGACCTGAGGTCACAGGTCATCCAGAGAAGGGATTTTGTGATGGAGACACCACTGAAGAAGAGTCCCAGCTGATTGCGAACAGCATTTGACTTAGACGGTTTGTATTAGCTACCAAGACTGGAGTTTTCCCCACAACCCTTTAGTAGAAAGACAGCTGCACTATCCACTACACCACAGCTGAATGAATGGGAGCCCCTTGATTAATTTCAAACGAGTGGTGTATCATGTGGTGTATAATATCACAATTGTTGTCATTGGCACTAGTTTCTGGCATCTGTGAACCCTTATCTTTATTCATTCAATTTCTAGTACTTAATCCCATTTATGGTCTCAAGGGGAGCTGGAGCCAATCCCAGCAGTCACTGGGAGAGGGCGGAGTTACAGCCTGGACGATTGGACTGTGGGGGAAGCCGGAGTTCCTGAGTAACAACTTACAAATACGGAGGAAAACAAACAAACTTCACACAGAAACACAACAGTTACCACTGGGAATCAAACAGCTGACTTTTGCGGAGTCAGCCAGGAGCACTGACCACTTTTTCACAAAACTGCACACAGACAAGACGCATCACCACAGCAGCCTCACGTGGTCTTGTATTGTTCAGAGTCACCTCACAGAAGGACCCCCTCCCTCGGGGGTGTCTAAATCTTGACGGATATTTCTACAAATTGCATTTTATTGATTTTGATGTTGGATAATATAATTGAAAACCTTGAAAAAAAAAGTTAATGAAACGCAGAGAAAGCTTTCTAAATAAAAGGTTAGGCTGCATGAATAGAATTTCAGGTGTAAGTATTGGCTGCGAACTTAAACAATAACCTGACTTTATCAGCTCTGACCTGAAGGAATGGTCTTGTTCGACTTTTGAGGCACCGCTCTAGAATATAAATGACTCTGACACCCCCACCTGTCCTGCACATGGACGATGACAAAAAGTTACCGTACGTCACTTTGTCAATATCCGACTTTAACACAACTCATTGGATGAATCCGACAGTACATAGATCATATAGTCACGATGTCAGTTGTTGGAGCTGTATCAGAGGTTTCATCAAAAATGAAGCGGATACACTACAACCTTACAAT